ACACCTATGGCAAATACCTTTAAAAAAAAAAAAAGAACTAAAAATAAATTTCACAAAAGAAAACAAACTTGAACTCTGAGAATTGGAAAACATTGTTGAAAGAAATTAAAGACAACTAGATAAATGGAAAAGTATCCAATATTCATGAATCAGAACCAATTTTATTAAGATGATAAAACTCCCTAAATCTTTCTACAGATTCAGTGAAATCTTTTTTTTTAATTTCATTTTCTTTTATACATTCAATCACATTGTTTAGCTTACAAAATGAATATTTCAGTATGTGAACATTTCTCCCTAGTCCAGTTGATAAAACTATAAAATATCTTCAACAGATAATAACACATTTCTTTGTCCCATTAATGCTCTGCCTTCGTATTTTTCTTCTAAATGTCCTTCCTTAGGCCCTACTCTTCCACAAACACTATATCTGGTATTTACGCCCATTTATTGTGTTTATATATCCTTCAGTCTACTGTGTTTGTATATCCTTCAGTCAGTCAGTTTCAGTCATAGACTGTGGACACTTGGTATATATTAAGTAGCGACATACAATGTCTCTCCTTCATAGCCTGGCTTGTTTTACTCAGCAGTAAATCTTCCATATTCTTCCACTTTCTGTCAGAAGCCAGGTTTATTTTTTTGTGTGTGTGGCTGAATAGTATTCCATAGAGTATATGTGCCACAGTTTTTCAATCCATTCATCTGTTTGTGGGCATTTGAGTTGGTTCCATGTCTTTGCAGTTGTGAATAGTGCCACAGTAAACATCGATGTGCAAGCACTTTTCCGATGAAGAATTCTTCTGTCCTTTGGATAGATATCAAGGAGTGGGATTCCTGGATCATATGGTAGTTCTATTTGCAGATTTTTGAGGAATCTCCAAATTGTTCTCCACAATGGCTGGACCAATTTACATTCCCACCAGCAGTGCAAGAGAGTTCCCCTTTAACAACACCCCCACGAACACTTATCCATTATTATTATTTTTTTAATCTTAGACATTCTGACTGGGGTTATGTGGTACCTCATTGTTGTTTTGATCTGCAATGAGGGATGTTGAGCATTTTTTCATATGCCTTTTGGCTATTCATATGTAATCTTTAGAGAGTGTTTTGTTTGACTCATTCTCCCATCTTTTTTTTTTTTTCTTTTTTTTTTGGAGAGGTTTTTGCTATAGGGCACGTGCGCTCGCCAAACAGACAGAGAGAGACAGACAGAAAGCAAGAAATCACCCCCCAGAGGGGATGGCCACTCCGCAATCCCTTCTCCTCCATTCTCC